TGCTCACCAATTCGAATTCAATTGGAATTTTATTAATCTGCTTTCCGACTTTCCGCCTGAATCTTCGGAATTTTATCAGAATGTAATAACAACTTTTTAGTCGCAAGAAATTAACATACCTTCACGTATGAGGATTTTTAATTTATTCGGATAAGCGGGAACAATCTGCTTTCATACAAAATAAAAAAAAAAGGAGAAAAAAAAATGGAAAAGAGGAAAAAGTAGCAAGAGCAATCGTCAAGGTGAAAATCAAGGGCAGTATTATATTATAGAGATAAATAAGAGAAAATGTAATATTATTACATATGTGTTATCTTTATACTAGATAAATATAGGTAATAATTATGGCGATAAATAATAAGAAAGAAAAAGACAAATATATATATTTAAATATAGTAGTTAGACAAATATAGTAATAATGGATGAAAGTAATAAAGATGGAAATATCAGATAGAATAGAATATTATAGTATTAAAATACAGTATAGAGATGAATAAGAGATAATGTAATATTATTATATATAATAATGTAATATTATTATATATATATTATCTCTATACTAGATGAACATAGGTTATATATTATTATATATATATATTATCTCTATACTAGATGAACATAGGTTATAATTATGGCGATAAATAATAAGAAAGAAATGGACAAATATATATATTTAAATATAGTAGTTAGATAAATATAGTAATAATGGATGAAAGTAATAAAGATGGAAATATCAGATAGAACAGAATATTATAGTATTAAAATATAGAGATAAATAAGAGATAATGTAATATTATTACATATGTATTATCTCTAAACTAGATAAATGTAAGTAATAATTATGACGATAAATAATAAGAAAGAAATAGACAAATATATATATTTAAATAGTAATAATGGATGAAAGTAATAAAGATGGAAATATCAGATAGAACAGAATATTATAGTATTAAAGTACAGTATAGAGATAAATAAAGAGATAATGTAATATTATTACATATGTATTATCTCTAAACTAGATAAATGTAAGTAATAATTATGACGATAAATAATAAGAAAGAAATAGACAAATATATATATTTAAATAGTAATAATGGATGAAAGTAATAAAGATAGAAATATCAGATAGGATAGAATATTTTAGTATTATAGTACATTAAAGAGATAAACAAGAGATAATGTAATATTATCACACACGTATTATCTCTATATCTAGATATAATTGCAGTGATGAATAATAAGATATGATGTGAGATGTGAGATGTGAGATGAATATAGCAGTTACAATAACAGATGAGAAAGCATGAAATAGAAGTATCAGATGATATTTGAAAAAAAATAAATATGATACATAAATGCAGTAAAGTATAATAATAAACAGACAGAAACTGTGCAATAAGATATGCTGGATGTACATGAGAATGAGTTATACTAAAATTTGATAGAGAAGAAGTCAATTTTATTGTATAATCTATCACTCAGGCTGCATATGCGTATGATAGTGTTGAGATATGGCTGAATCTGGAAGAATACACGTAGAATAGAATACATGCAATGTATTCATTATACAATGTAAGAAGTAAAATATTCTAATACAATGTAATGAATACATGTAATGAATAGAATCAAGGAAAAAGACCTGAGCATGAGTGAACGAGACGTGACAATCAATTAAGCTCTAGAAAATTAATTCATTTTTAACTTTTTCCAGTTGCAGAATCATTATGACATTATGGAGGACAAAATGTACAGGCTCTTTGTCATAGTCCAAAGCAGATCTATCCATCTGTATGATCTCGAAGACAAGAAATACGCAGAAAAGAATCCCCCGATATTTGTTTTCCTGTCGATTCGAGACAGGGGGTTTGCGGTTGATAAATGAAGAAACGAAGTTGCGAGGGGAGGGGGGGTGGGGTGAGTCCCCATTGAAAACATTTCGCCATGGTTCGCTGCTGGTTGAAAGGTGTCGAGCACGCTGTCGACGTCTCGTTGCGCCTCGTAAATTGCGAAAAGCTCACAAAGATGCGCCATCCTCATTCATTTCCCACGAATCTGTTCTACCACCCATGGTGTTCACTCGTTTCACCGATATCACTCGTACGCTTCATTCGACGAGAGAGTTTTATAAAAAAAAAAAAAAAAAA